ATGATAGTCAACCTTGTCTTGTATTAGCGTAAGACGGCAATTAATTATCTCAATGTTTGTTTTGACAATTAATCTATATTAAGTAATTACGATTAATTATTAATCAATAATTATGAACTTACCAAAGGTGAATTAACAACTAAAATAAATTCGAAGTAATAATCGACAAGTGTATGCATATTCGTGCAATTAGATAATTGATTACCCAATAGATTTCAAATCCAATAGCATTACAAAGAGATTTAAAATATTTTTCAATACTATCATAAAGTAAAAATAAATAAATTTTTAAAGGTGTATTAAATTATATGTACAGTCAGTGCAAAAAGTATTCGTGTACTGAGAAAATATTTTTTAAAAAATCTTTATTTTTAAAAAGTAAATATTATCCAACGAGAAATAAGTCATCGAATTGATGTCGAATTGATATCGATTTGACGTTTATTAATTGACCATCATTTGCTGGGTAATTAACAATTTATTCATAAAGATTAAAACGTAGAACTGTATGTTTCCTTAAAATTATATATACCAAAAAGATATGTATTAATTACAGAAAATATATCATCTGAAGAATAAAGCGAAAATTAAAAATTCTTTTGTTTGAGTGCTCAAAAAGTATTCGTAGAGGAAAGTCACCGATACTGACATAGGTCTCCTAAAGCGACATCCTCTTATTTCTTAGAAACTAACCTTTGCACCTTATTAATACTAATAAAAACGTGATCTGTTTAACTAATTAAAGAAGTACAAACTCATAATTCATATATTTGTGGCTTATTTCTATACCAAATCAGCTAAAAACAAATTCTATGAATTCGAGAAGAAAATTCTTACGGTGTTCTTTTGCAAATTGGGTAATTAAAATAATAGTGATTGTATTATTGATAATATTATGTCATTTTAAATGTTTATAGTTTCATAAATTAGTTTTCTTTACAGAATAGGATATACCTTTATTTATAGAATAGGAATGTTGGCATTATTGCTTGCTATGTCAGTTTTGGAGCTCATTTTGTCAGACGCTCATTTTTGCATAACTTACGAAAAACTTAATTATTGCAAATTTGCAAATAGTATTATAAAAACTGCTTATACTATCTGATAGAAGACACTTTTTAATTTGTATTTATGTTTTTGAAGTTGTATTTTTTTTGAGACCTTTTGTTTAAGAAATATTGTCTAAAAACAAAGTGGTATGTCGGTATCGGTGATCTTCCCCTACAATCGAGAAATTTACCCAGCAAACACAAAGTTACATATAACGTACCTGTTAGTTGTAATTTCTCAACAATATAACTGTAATATGACACGTGCGTTATATTATAGTTATATTGTTGAGTGGAAAATTACAACT